TCAAATGTACATCAATAAATTATGGAACAAGGTAATAGCTCACTCTATTGTAGCTATAATATTTTCTCTTCTTGATTTTGTTATTGATTTTAACATGAAATATTTTTTGTTGCAACAGTGGTAATCATTTTGATAAGGATATTTTTTCAGTGATAACATGTAGCAGAAAATAAAGAAGTAGATATATCTATCTCTATGTATATTGATATTGATATTTATATAGATATATACACACACAACTATTATATGCTCTTAACATTGCAGAACATTGTTACAAGACAGTAGTTTCTGTAAAATATACCTGAAGATAATATTTAAAGAAGGCAGACAATTTATAACATGATTATCCTTAGAACTCCTTAATGAAAGGAGTATGAAAGTTCAGTATAGGATGGTCAGAAAGTATTTAATGATAAGATCAACTAGGTATTAAAGAAGTAAAGAGAACACCATAAGATCAAACCCCATATTTAGATTGTGAATAAAGCATATATTTTTTATCATGTTTCTAAAAGTTTTTATTGATTTTGATATTTATTCCTCCCATTTCAGAAATACAAATGCATCTTTTATTGCTTTTGCAAAGCAAGAACTTGGGGAAACTTTTTCTCTTTACCTCTTAAGAAATAGCATTTGATAATTGAGTAGCATTTCTTACTTTTTTTCTTTTTCCTTTGTTGCTTTTACCTCTATTTATTTTTACAGAACAACAACAGTCATACTGGTGGACCACAAGGGCAACGTTACATACAAAGAGCAGACAATGGAGGAACCAATTGATATAAATAATGTTACGTGGAAGGAAAATCAATATAATTTTACGGTGCAGGTATAGGACAAAAATTGTGTGCATAGTTTTGTGATTCTTTGCCTTAAAGAGTGATATGTGCTTAGCATGTAGATCTACACTCATAAAGATGAGTTCTAAGGGAATTTAGGTACATTTAGATGTTCCTTTTAAGTTGCTCAGCTAATCAAGTAGCCAAATGAGTAGTTGGGCTTTTGGTCACAAATTTATTAAAGAAGTTTCACCAAATTGAGGGTAATGAACTGTATTCATGTTGAAAAATGTAGAAAAGGTATGAATCAGAATGAACATCTTCACAATACAAGAGATGTATTTAAGTGGTCTTCATTAGAAACACATGTATTTCTGACAAAGATATATTTGAAACCAGTTTTAAAAACATCTCTTGTGTTGTGAAGATGTTAATTCTCATTCATACCTTTTCTAGAATTGAGAGTAGTGAAGAATTTGAGAAAGGAAAGTTAGTTATTCCTGTGGCATCAGTGGGATTGGGGAGGGGGGTGCATGGCTAAATCTCTGGGTGAAGTTGTAATTTTTTTTTCTGTGCAGTGTTAAAAGTATTTGAATTTGTTATGTTACAATTAAGGAAATTTCGGAAATGAGTAGTGCTATGTTGATTTCTGGACACTATTTTGATGAAAACAGGCATGTTCCTGTGGCATTAGGAATGTGATACAGGTAATATACTTGCTCCTAATAAAGTCATTTATTTAGTTAAATACTACATTCTATAGCACATTTTCCTCATTCTGCTCTCAGAGCTGTCTCTAAAAGAGAGTTTAAGGAGGCTTTTATAACTGGAACTTCTAAAAGTGGAAATTAGGTGATGTAGTTTGATACAAATTCTGTGGACTGAGTTTGGCAGGTTGAGGGAAAGAAAAAAAACTAGCCTTTCTCTTTTTTCTGTATTGTTTAATTTGTTAGCGATGCTTTTAACTGATCAACCTGTGATTGCCTTTTTCAGGATGGAGAGTGACATGTTGATGGGCATAACATGCTTTGTTAGATCTTGTAACATATCTTTCATGTAAATAGGATTAACGTGTTATGTAACTATACTGTGAATATGTATAAAGCAGTATTACATTTATACTTAGAGTATTACTATTTTATTTTATCAAAAATGTTATCAGTTGTTATTACAGTGGAATTGTTACAAGCAAGTATTATTTAGGTTCTAAAATCAATGAAAGAATGTATGATATAATTGATATGCAGTTATACAATATGACTGAAACAGGTGAGAGACAGGAATTGTATGAGTGTAACAGGACATAGTAGATGGCCTTGCTTATATACTCTGTAGAAGCAGAGAGAAATACAAGTGAAAAAGAAAGCGTTTTTGATCTTTTCTTGTAGTGTGCTAAAAACATGCTTAACAGTAGATACATAAACTTGAATTACATATGCAGAACAAATGTTAGATTATTACAGTTAATATACATATACATATATATATATATAATATATATATATATATAATATAATATATATATATATATATATAAATATATATAAATATAATATATATAAATATATATATATAATATATATATATATATATATATATATATATATATATATATATATATATATATATATATATATATATATAATATAATATATATATATATATATATATATATAAATATATATATATATATATATATATATATTATATATATATATATA